GCCCCATAGGGTTTCCAAGGAGCGCCTGGTGGATTTGAACTGCTGACCTTTTGGTTAGCAGCCATAGCTCTTCCCTATGCCACCAGGGTTTCCTCCTGATCTTTAGTAGGTGATAAATGAATATCTCATTATTTGTTCATGATTGCTAATGGTTAAGGTAGTATTTCCCTGACTGAATTCCTCAGAACAGGGCTATTGATGGATATTCCATCAGGAAAGGACTCCATGATTAAAGAAGTTTGAGAGGCCTTGTAGCATATGGATTCAGAAAGCACAGAGCACTTTGAAAAGCTCTGAGAAATCCTGCAGTAAAGAAACTTGTTTAATATTTTTTAAACATCGTGTCTCCTCCACACACACACACGTACTCAGAGTATATATTAACATCTGGTGGAACCCTAGTATTCCACAGAACACGGTTTGAGAAATATTGGGTTAAAATGTTCCTTCTCCCAGAAAGTGTCTGTGTTGACAGGGTGCTTTGGGAGACAGCCTCCTTACCTGGAGGCATGACTCTCAACGGATGAACTCTAAAACACAAGAGCCCAGCTGGCGAAAGGGAGGTGTGGGGAAGGGGGGAGCATGAGCCTCTTGGCACCTCCCAAATCACATCCTGTCAGCAGCCCCTTGCTCCACATCCAGGCAGGGCTGGCCTTGGACACTCATTTACTGATGCCACAGCTCACACACTTGCTACCTTCTGTGGAACAGTCACAACATAAGCAGCAAGCTTTATTCACTGAGAGGAGATCCCTGTTCCTGCTAAGACAAGCTGCACTCTTGCTTCTCAGCCAGCTGTTTTACCACCGCAGCAAAGCAGAAAAGCCCCTCAGCTGGGATGTGGCTAACTGGAGGCTTTATTCCTCAAGCCTGGCTCCTTTACTGAATAAAAACTGGGAAATGGAGCTTTACAACCGAGGTCTCTCACGTGAAGGCCGTCACTTCCTGTTTTCCCTTTACCTCAGGAACCTGCTGCAGGTTGCCTGACTTCTCATCCTTGGTTTTCTCCTCACCAGATGAAGAAGTTGGCCAGGCGGCAGCAGCAACAACAGCAAGATCAGCAGAACTCCCAGAGGCTGAGTTCTGGTAAGCTGGTGGCTCCTCCCGGCAGGCCCTTGCTGGAGTCCGGGCGTCTCCTACCGGGCGCCTCCGGCTCCCCAGCTTTTTGAATGAGATTCGTGGACTCAGGGAAGCCCAGTCCATACCCTCTTAGAAGATGGAGGCTTCATGTGTGGACTGAGCCACGAGGAATTGTGAGAGTTGGAGGGTGCCCGAGCTGCAGGCCTAGAACTTCTCAGTGGAGCTGGCACTGAACATCTCCAAAGCCTCTTTTCCCTGATCCTCGCCTGGTGTCTGGGGAGCCAGGACTTTGTACAGAGCCAAAGACACTTCCACGTTCTCATCCTGCTCACTCTTGTTTCTGGGCTAAGGAATTCTCACCTTTCATGCAGGAGACCAGGGTTTAATTCCTAGCCAATGCACCTCAAGCACAGTCACCACCCATCAGTGGAGGCTGTGTGTCGCTGTCATGCTGAACAGGCTTTAGGAGAGCATCCGGACTCAGATGGGCTAGGAAGAAAGGCCTGGTGATCTATTTCCAGAAATCAGCCAATGAAAAAGTTATTTTATCACAATGGTCTGATCTGCAGCCCATCGTGGGGATGGCGAAGGACCGGACTGGGCAGCAGCATTTTGTCTAATTGTTCATGGGGTCTCCATGAGTCAGGGGCCAACTTGATAGCAGCTAATAACAACAACAATCAATTAAATACAAGACATTACTCTGACTTACCCATTTCCAAAATAATGTAGAATAGTAAAAGTAACCATAGTAAAATAATAATCCCCTTCTTTGCAAAGTGCTTTATAGGTCACAGAGTCCTCTCACGCTGATTTGACTTCACAGCAGCCACCCCCTGAGATGAGCAGAGAAGTCATTACTACCCCATTTCACAGATGAGCAAACAAAGCCTCTATAAGACTGAACATGGTCCTAGGTCAGTGAGGGATGGAGCTGGGACTAGAACCCATCTTTCTGTAAATTCCACTGCTCCTCCCCGCACCCCTACATGCCATCTACCCTTCATTTGTTTTATGGTTTGTTTGTTTTTTTTTAAATAAGGATGGTGTGAGTTTTGGGGGAGGGGGCTGAAGATAGACAGATTATAGGAGTCTTCAAGGAAGTTAAAAGAAAAAAATCACTATATCAGAACAATGTCTTCTTAAAGGGCTATGCCCCCAATTCATCCATCCAGGAGAAGTCCCTAAATGGTCTCTTTGTACCTGAGGGCAGTGTTCTCATGCTGTAATGTATACACGAATCACCTGAGATCTTGTTCAAGTACAGATTCTGATTCAGAAGGTCTGGGAAGGACCTGAGATTCTGCATTTTTAACAAGATCCCAGATGATGCTGTGGCTGCTGACCACACTTTGAGTAAGAAGGCATAGAATTGATGTTAGTTCTCTATCGCTTCAACTGAGCCCTTGTCCTTGCATGGACCCTGCCTTGTGCTTGACACCTGGGCTAGGCTCTGTCTAAATTTGACTTACTATCTCCTCCAGCCAGGTGTTCCCTTGCTTCTTACTTCTAGGCTAAACAATGTCCTAATGACAAGATAGATATTCAAGGGAGAGAAGAAATGAAACAAGGGCATGGGCATGGAGGAAGGGCAGAGCAGCAAGCTGGTCAGGACACTTGAATTCTGCCCTTAGCTCCACCCCCAGTGTTGTTTGATCTGGAACTAGGCTTTCATCCCTTGTGCCTCAGCCTACACATTCCTTTGTTGTTGTTAGCTGCTGTCGATTTGGCCCCAGCTCACGGGGACCCCACGCACAACAGGATGAAACACGGCCCGGTTCTGGGCCATCCCCATGATCAGTTGCAAATTGGACCGCTGTGATCCATACGGTTTTCATTGGCTGATTTTTGGAAGTAGAACACCAGGCCTTTCTTCTTAGTCTGTCTTAGCCTGGAAGCTCCACTGAAATCTGTTCAGCATCATAGCAACACACAAGCTTCCAGTGACAGATAAGTGGTAGCTACGCATGAGGTGCATTAGTCAGGAACTGAACCTGGGTCTCCCTCGTGGAAGGCAAGAATTTTACAACTGAATCAACAGTTCCCCATGTATCCCTAGAATGGGTTAATAATGACTGATAGCCCTATCTCTTAGGGCCCCTGTGAAGTTCAAAGAGGGTCACAGATAGGAGAGGCCTTTAGTAAGAGCCATGCAAGTAGATTCCATAGAGGCGAGCAAGCTCAAAGGGAGAAGGATGCCTCAAGGTATTATGAGAACACAAGCTCGGTATTTGGGACTTTCTTTACAGAATTCTAAGGGTGGCTCCTAGGATAGACTTCAGAAAGCTGAGGCTGGTGGGAGAAAGTTGCTCCCATCTTGGGAGATGAGGAAATGGAGTCTCTGAGAGTTGATGGAATCGTGCTCAGAGAACCACAGCAAGATGTGGAGGCAGGAACTGAGTCCTCCTTTTCTCATAAAATTCTGTACATGAGTGTAACACAGTTACAAAATCACATAGACTCCAGTGGCCGCCAAACCAGTGCATAACATCAGAACTCTGTTCAAGTGATATATTTCAAGGAAGCTCTCAAAGTTCAAACCCCGCACTGGCATCCCTACCCTCCAAAGTGATCCGTCACGGCCTTCAGTAGGGCATAGGCTAGAAACCACTCGCTTTACCTCATCCCCTTCTATTTTATAAACGAGAACACCAAGACCCAGGGAAGTAAGATTGTCTAGTCAGGGTCACGCAGCTTATGTGGTAGCCACCCTCCAAGATGGCCCTCGATGATTCTCCCAGCTAATGTTCACACTCTTGTGTAGTCCCCTCCCACACTAATTAGGGCTGACCTGGGGTGTAACTTCCATGGTCATTAAAGACTGTGTGGCTTCTGTTTTGGACGCTTTTGGATCACTCCCTCTGGGGAAGCCACCTGTCACGTGGTGAGGACACGTAAGTAGCAGCCCTGTGGTCCACATGGTGGGGCTCCAGTGGGGCTCACAGACCCAGCACATCCCACTCCAAGTCCAGGGCTCCCTGCCCTGCCCTAACCTGCCTCTCTTACTCTCTTCTCTTCTGTGGAGCAGAGCAAAGGCCAGTGCTGGGAAGGAATGCTGGGCAGTAGGGGATACGAAGCCCAGAGGATACTCTGTGGCCCTCTCTCCCAGCCTGGGACGCTGAGCTGCATGCTGAGAATGACTTGCCTTCTTCTTTGTCCCACAGCTCAGACAAATGGTGGTGGGGGCGCTGGGATGGAAGGGATCATGAACCCCTACACGGCTCTGCCCACTCCACAGCAGCTCCTGGCCATCGAGCAGAGTGTCTACAGCTCAGATCCCTTCCGACAGGGGCTCACCCCACCCCAGATGCCTGGAGACCACATGCACCCCTATGGTAAGAGGGACTCAAGCCCCACAGGGACCACTCACAACTTGCCCACATAGGTTTCTGATTCCCTCCCAGACACATTATACAGTTTCTTGGTGCTCACCGAAGCCCCAAAGCAGAACCAGTGCCCCATAAAGTCGTGCTGGAATAACCTAACCAGTGGCTGTGAAAGACCCACGTGCACGTTCGTTCATGATGGTCTCATTTCATCTCATTTTCAAAGCTTGCGAGTTTAAGAATTGAAATTCAATTTGGTTTAATAATTGAAATTAAAAATCAGATTTCACAAGTCTTGCATTCCATGCTGGGCTACCACACTGAAATGCTTGCAAGCAATGTCAATGCTGATACAGGCAGAAGGCCTTAATTCAGCAAATGTTTACCTAGAGAAAAAAATGTGTAAAAGCACACAAAACAAAATTTCCAATTGGATGATTCTACTACAAACCCATTCTGACTCATTGCGACCCTGTAGGACAGAGTAGAACTGCCCCATAGAGTTTCCAAGGAGCGCCTGGTGGATTCAAACTGCTGAGCTTTTGGTTAGCAGCTGTAGCATTTAACCACTACACCACCAGGGTTTCCCAATTCTACTAGAGATACTAGTAAATATAACTCATGAAACAAAAACTAACCTTTTAAAATGAAAAGTATCTCCTCCTTACATCCTACACTGGGCTTGATTTCAATGCTGGATGTGTGTATAGCTGAGCCTTCGCACTTGTCCAGCTTGCTGCTAAGCTAATGGGCAACAGGTGGGGCTTGGGGGACCCTGCAGGGGTGGGGTGAGCCCTGAAATGGAAGGCTCAAGTTCAACCTCAGGGGCAAATATAGGCCACTGCATTTTTATACAGAGAGAGTCAGTGGCCTGTGCAGTGCATTGGGATATAGTGTGTAATGATAATGAACCCTGATGGCTAAAAATAAAGTTTTATTCAGCAAGCCTTCAAAACTTTAGTATCGGAGACATATACCTCAGCTCCCAGGTTTTCTCAAACAACATCCTTTTGCCTTCATTTTTAAAAATATTCTGTTTCTTGTCAAAATCACCCTCACCTTCCCATGTCATACATTCAGCAAACATTTATTAAGATCTGGCCCTTTGCAGGGCCTTCCTTGACCAACCTCATCCTTTCGCACAAACGTAGATACATGTGTGCGTGCTCGGTGACTTCCATCCTGTCTGCCTCCTCAGACAACACATGTGACATCTGCACCATTCTTCACTCCACAGCTGTGGGAAAACAGGCGAAGGAATTTTTTTGTAAATCCTTACATTTTCTGAATCCCAGGGGTCTTGTTACATTAAGGACTCTTGTGATGAATCCTTACGTCAAATAAATAATCAAAGCCAGATGATGTTTTAAGAACTCCAGTTTTCATCTCTCCCGTTTACTTCAACCCACTACCACCCACTGCTGCGGAGTCGATTCCCACTCATAGCGACCCTACAGGACAGAGGAGAACTGCCCCACAGGGTTTCCAAGGCTGTAAATCTTTACAGAAGCAGATTGCCACATCTTTCTCCCGCGATTTGCTTGAAGTGGAGGTAAAAAGTCCTGAGCCTGCTCAGGTTGCAGGGGTCCCCCAGCTGTTCCACAATTCGCCCCTCTGGCTTCTCTCTCAGGAGTGTGAATGAGTTGCAGTTAGGCACCTGAACTTCCTTTCCTTTGTAGTAAAAATGTGGGGATACAGCAGGCACTCAGGATGCCCTTGCTGTTTGAAAGGACAAATGTTATCATGAAAGGTTTCATTAGCCTTCGCTGTAGAACTGAGGTTTGTTTTCTTACCATTCCTCCTTCAGGAATCCTTTATGAGGCCCAAGTCCCCTAGGAGTCCTGCCCCCGTCTCTCCAGCCTCTGGCGCTATGTCCTGCCCACTCCCCAAGCTTGTTGTCTGGACATCCTGACATTTGTTTATAGCGCACTCAGTTCCGCACTTTGTCATATCCTGGTTTATATTGTTTTCAGCTGCACTTTAGACACAGGGAGAGGAGCCCTGGCGGCGCAGTGGGTAAAGTGATCAACTGCTAAGCAAAAAGTCGACGGTTCTAAACGACCAGCAGCTCCGAGGGAGAAAGATGTGGCAGTCCGCTTCCATAAAGATTTACAGCCTTGGAAACCCTATGGGGTCACTATGAGTCGGAATCCACTCAACGGCAGTGGGTTTTTGGGTAGAGACAGGCCCCTGAAAGAAGGACAGGGATTTTGTTCCTTCCTACTTTTCTGTGGGAAACCCTGGTGGCGTAGTGATTAAGAGCTACGGCTGCCAATCAAAAGGTCGGCAGTTCGAATCCACCAGGCGCTCCTCGGAAACCCTATGGGACAGTTCTACTCTGTCCTTTAGGGTCGCTATGATTGCAATCAACTCCATGGCAACGGGTTTGGTTTTTGGTACTTTTCTGTGCCAGTTAACACATTTGGCTGCCAACCAAAAGGTTGGAAGTTTGAGTGCACCTAGGGGCACTTTGGAAGAAAAGCCTGGGATCTAGTTCAGGAAAAAAAAAAACAGCCATTTTAAACCGTGTGGAGCACAGTTCTGTTCTGACACACATGGGGCTGCTGAGTTAGAGTCAACTCAACAGCTACTGATTACTGGCACTTTCTGTGTAGACGCCCCCCCCTCCTTTCTCCCATCGCTTCTCCAGTACCCAGCAGTAAGCGTCACTTGGGGGGGGGGGGCATGTTCAGGCAACATTTGGTGAGTGTAGTTGAATTTCCTAGCATTGCAGTGAGCTACTCTACCAGAAACTCATGCCGATGTTTCACCTCTGTTTCAGGTGCTGAGCCCCTTTTCCACGACCTGGATAGTGACGACACCTCCCTCAGTAACCTGGGTGACTGTTTCTTGGCAACCTCAGACGCCGGGCCCCTGCAGTCCAGAGTGGGAAACCCCATTGACCACCTGTACTCCATGCAGAATTCTTACTTCACCTCTTGAGTCTTCCCCTCGAGTTCTGTGGCTAGGCTCCCAAACGGAACAACCACATTATGTGAGGGGTCTGCTGGCTTTAGAACGGGGAGGCCAGGAAAGAGGTGGGTCGGGGAGGGAGTTTTGTCGGGGATGCTGTTGTATAATGATATGGTGTAGCTCGGCATTTCCAAAGACTGAATACATTATGGATTGCATAGCTTAACATTTCTAATAAGAGTCTTAGCATTAGATATGAAGATGTGTTTATCATTAAGGACAGGGACCTTTAATACAGACATTCTCATGCAAACTAGATGCCTAGGGACTCCTAACAACTTCCCGCCATTTTGGGGAAGCTCTTGTCAAGAGGTGCATACGTCTATCCATCTATACACCCATAGACAGAAAGACAGATGTATGTGAGTGTGTAACCTTTCATACTTTATCATCAAAGTTTATTCCTAATTATAACAGACATCAACTGTACAGCAAAAGTAACTTTATTTTCAGTGTGAACTATATTTAAGGAAATGCTTGATGCACTTAAGTTATAAAATGAGATAATTTACTTTTATAAACTTTATTTTTAGTTTGGAGAGACTTGTTGGCAGGGCAGAAAGGGCTGCTCCATCTAGCCGCATGGCGTTGTGTACATTTTATCCTGTTTTCAGACAGTGTGATTGAGGTCTGGGAAGTAACTCTGTGGCTGACACTGTTCTCTTGTGGGTTCTTGCTCTCTGTGGGGTTGAATCACTGGGCGTGGGTGGGACAGAACAGTCCCTAATCATGTTCTTAGAAAATTCAAAGCCTAGACTCCTGGGCTTTCTCTTAAATTCTGGTCATTGGGCAGTGCTAGAAAAGTCAGCTGTGCTCTTGAGCTCCAGCATCTTTGGGTGCAGGATGAGGCTAATAGCATGTACCTACCTCACTGGGCAGCGTGAAGGCTTAATTCACCCTCAGGATAGATGAGCGGTGGGGAGACCAATACCTAATATTTGGTCAAAATCCAACTAAACCAATCACTTGGCAAAGGAGGATACCTGGGGCTGCAGAGCAGGAGGTCTCCTCCACCCTGAGGACAGTGTGGCTTGCCATAGTTCCTTCTACAAAGCCAGGTGGCAGAAGTACCAGTGCAGGACAGCTCAGAGGGGTGTCAGAGGGGGAAGAGTCTAAGGCTGAGATGGTGGAGGAGGGCATTGAGGTATTCTAGAGCAGGGGTCAGCAAACTACAGCCTATAGGCCTGTTTTTGTAAGGGCTGCCAGCTAAGAATGGTTTTTACACTTTTAAAGGGTTGTTAAAAAAAAAAAAAAGAACAAGAATATGTCACAGACATTGTATGTGGCCCACAAAGCCTAAAATATTTACTATCTGCCTTTTAACAGGAAGCGTCTGTTGACCCCTGCTGTAGAGGGTCTGTTTCTAAACAGGCTTGTGGAGCTCATGGAGGGAGAGGTGGTCCAGGTGGGAATCCAGGGCGCTTCCTCCCAGCTCACTTTTCTGACCCTGAGCACAGAAATCCCAATAGCCATTGTACACAGGGACCGTTCCTCACCCTGTTCTCCAAATGTGGTGCTAAATGGGATACTTCTGTGCTAGGAAACCCCCTGGGAAGTCTGAATGTGGAGGAGGGGAACACGGAGGGTCAGCTTGGGCCCCTCCTCTGAGAGGGGCCGGGACGGGCTTGGCCTTCTAGGACGTCATGGAAGACTTGGACACAGCGACACTTCCCCTGACACTCTGCAAGGCCTGAGGAAACATGTCCCCTGATGGTAGAGTCTACATTGTGTGATTTGTGTGCTCTTGTTTATAATTTATACAAACCACCATGAAACCCAAGCCAGTCTGGTGAGTGAAAATCGTGCCAATGCTGTGTCGCTCCTCAGGTTTCTGTGGTAAAGATCAGTTGGAGAATGTAGCAGATACTATGTGAGTGAAAACGAATAGAGATCCTTATTCCACTCCTTAATGGCATACCAAGATGAAATTAAAATCCTCTTACAAATGAGCTGTTGTTTATTCAGGGGCGGGGTGGTGGGCAGGGAACCGGGGGAATGTGGGTATTTGGTCAACAGGGGCATGAGGATGAGCTTCCGGCAAAGCTTAAATGAATGGGAAGAATGCCTACAGCAGAGCAGAAGGATAAAGTGACCTTCACTTTCCTGCCAAGATGGGCTCCAAGAGTAGACTCCAGCATTTACAAAGGCCCCTCACAAGGGAGGCACTGAGAACATGAAATTCACTCGTGACAGAGCAGTTTGCAAGACGTAGTGGATGAACATTTGCTTGGAAATCAGTCAAGGAGCAGGAGAATTTCTCATGCAGGCTTGAAGGCAGATGCCTAGCCAGGGTGGGGAGCAGAGCAGCAGGGGGTGGCTCCCCTTACAGAACCCCCCAAATTTGTCAACAATTTTAAATGTTATCTATGGATGGGCAATTGTTAGGGTTATGTAGAAAACAAGTCAGGAAACAGTATGAATGTAAGACCATAAGGTATATATTCAAAAGGTGGCACCATTTTTTGTATCTTTGCTCATCCACCTGCAATTATTCAGACCCTGTTACTCCAGGCTCATGCGCTCCATGTTAGAAGTTGGCTCTGCCTCTTGTTAAGGGCTTAGAAGGAGAGAAATGTGAGTTAGAAGGTCAGGCTGTCAGGAGGAGCCGCCAAGGAGGCCCATATCTCCAACTGGCCTCCACTGGGCTGGCCCTGGTGCTGGTCTCCAGCTTCCAGAAGGACCCTGTGCATAAGACCTTTCCCCCTCATGTTTACCTAGTTAACAGCTGCTTAATCCTCAGAATTCAGCATAGATTTTGCCTTCACAAGGAAGCCTGCAAAGCTGGGTTAGCTGCATGTATTGGATTAATTGGCCTAGTGCTATCTGCTGTAACAGATAAATCCAAAAATTGTGTAATAGCTCAAACACAATAGAAATTTATATTTTGCTCACATAAAAGACCTGGGAGGGAGCTCAGTTTAGAAGGGCACTTCTCTTGGTGCGTAATAAAGGCTCTTCCATTCACAGCTCATGGCTACAGGCTTTCACTGGGGGTTGGTAGGCTCCATCCCAGCCAAGTGGAAGGGGAAAAGAGAAAGGAAGAATGCAAGAGGATGGTTTTATGGGCTAGGCCTGGAAGTGGCTCCTGTCTCTTTCATCACTGTCTTTTTGGCTAGAATTCAGTCACATGGGAACTGCAACCTGTAAGAAGGCTGGGAATGTGGTCTAGCTGTATGCCTTGAAGAGGAGAGGAGAGCACGGATTTTGCTGAGCTGTTGGCAGCTTCTGCCAGGATACTTCTCCAAAGGACTCCTATAGCAGAGAGCCTGCCCCACCCAATTCAGGACAGAATGTATCTCTAACAGACGTACAGGATGACTCCTAGGAAAGGAAAAAAGAATCATAGCCCTGATCAGATAGCATTGTAATGTCTGTTTCCTTGACCATCTCTCCTGCTAGACAGCAAACTTCTTGAGAGAAGAGATTCTTATTCCTTGCTATTTCTGTTCTTAGAGGAAAAGGACAAAAACACCCAGCATCTAGCTTAGCACCTGGTTTATAGAAGACAATAAATGTTTTTGGATGGATGGATGGACGGACAGACGGACGTACAGATGGATGGAAAGATATGACAAATTCTTATATCTCTGCTTTTAGTTCTTCCACTCAACCTACGTATCTAAAACTCCTTTAGGATCTGTACATTTCAGAGTTGACCCCAAGGACTCTGTGAATAGCTAGAGCCCAGGATAAAGTGGCTGGGCATCCCTCATTGGGCAACACACGCTTGGATGTTGATTCCCTTTTGCTTTCCTAGTAGTCATCCTATAAGTCCGTTAGAGATAAATTCTGTCTAGAATTGGGTGGGGCAGGCTCTCCTTCCCTTTTTCTTTCTTGCCTAGCATAGTGATAGGTGTAAGTAGGCATGCATAAATACTTGTTGATTTATTTTTCCTCCATCTTTGTTCCTCACCCAGACCCAACCACACATACTCTCATCCTCTCTCCCTCTTCTCCTTCTCTTGACCCATTCTTGCCTTTATCACTTTATACGTGTTTACTAAACCACTCAACATGTATTTCTACTCTCCAGCAGGTTCTTCCAGGGATTCTGGTCACCCTACTCTAGACCCTTCTCTCCCATTGGCCATCTCCCTTCTGCTCTTTCCCATATTTCCTGTGCTGGGGCTCCCACCTCCCTGCCCAAAGTCTAGAACACCTAGCCCGGCTGATGATAATGCGGAGGTCACCAAAAGGAATCAGCTGTGCTTCTCTGCTTTCTCTTATTTAATTTTGCATAGGTACCAGAGAGGTTTGTTGATAAACATTGAAGCCAAAGATTGAAGCCAATCAATGGAAGATTATTTTAACTGTAGAGGAGAATGTGCTCAAAGTAGGTAATCCTCTCCTTTCCTTTCTCCTATTCATGCAAGATTCATTTGCAAACAATGTTGAGAAGCTGCCATGTTCCAGGCATGGTAATAATACCTTCACACTGCTTGGTTTGCTAGAGTGCTGTTAGGGTTCCTTTTGGGTTTAAAAGGATTTCTCCCTTGAAGGCAAGAATGAAACCAACCCACCATCCACCCATCCATCCATCCACCATCTATCCATCCATCCATCCTTCCATCATCTCCTTTGTTCCTTCCTTTATTCAGCAACTGCTTCACTGAGAGCTTGCTGGATGGCAAAGTGGCCAGCAGCATAGCCCTGGAGTGAGCATGTCTAGATTCAAATCCCAGCTCCTCCACTTACCAGATGAGCCTCTGATTCCTCATCTACAGAGCTTGTAGCTACCTCAGAGAAGCTATAAGGACATAGGAGATAAAACATGCAGAACACTTAGCCCTGAGTCTGACACATGGCAAGTGCCTGATGTATCTTAGCTGCAGTGCTATGTGCCATGGTTTTGTCAGGGGTGAAAGATTCTGAAGGCCTATGGGAGTCTCCATATTTGGGGAAAAAGAAGAATGCACCCTGGTTGACCTGAGGTAGGAAGGCTTCTCACCATCACTTTATATCTCAGTGCAGGTCCTACACAGCCTGCATCAGAATTGTCAGGGAGTGCTTTGTTTGGATGTTGTTATTGCTTTTAAGGCATGCAGATAAAATCCCAATAAAAAAGAAACATTAAGAAGTCTGACCCCCAAGGAGAAGCAGCCAGGTCATTGGAGATTTCTCCAGTCATCTTGTTACCTTTTTTTCATGGCCTGCCTCAGAGAGGACAGTGTGAGGGCTGGGATCAGGGTGGAGACCCTTGGACTCATCAGCTGAGCCTTGTTTGCCTGGGAGAAATTTGAATTGACCTAGCATAAATCTAAAATAGGAAAAAAGTTAATTTGTCAATTCCAAACCCAAGGTCAAAATTAATTTTTAACTGAACCTCAAGTGAAATCAAAGTCTCTCTCTCTCACACACACATACAGATAAATACAAATGTACTAATTCAATCCAAAATGGGCTGCAATAACACAATTTAACTAGAATAAAACTGTACCAATAAGAGTTACCACTGAACCAGAACCAAATTAACATACTGTTTTCCTGGATCTCTCTGCTTATATGTGCAACATTTTGTTCAATGACAAGAAGAGAAGAACTGTCTTTAGAGCTCAAAAGAAGGCCTTGAAATTTTTATGCTGAAAATACAGTCTCTCTACAGGTAGATGATGTGGCGAATTAGAGATCACTTTGTCCTTGAAATTTATATCATATTTGAAGCTCTCTAGGTGTGTAACCTTGGGTGAGGTTCTGAGCCTCTATTTGTTCATCTATAAAATGGGCCAGTGACACTTGCTTATGTTCCAGGTTGGTGGTTGTGAGCATCGAAAGAAGTAATCAGGAAAGAGCTTTGTAGACCATGAAGTGTTATGCAAATAGGAGAGCTTCTTAGCATTATGTCCCAGGAAGGCATATGTAGCTTGGCAACTTGGGGGAACATAGCATCCATGTAAACAATCCTCCTGCTTAGGTAGATGCCTACAGCAAAGAAGGGATACCCACATAAACGTGAAAATAACTTATTTCCTCCCCACCAGCTGTACAGCAAGATTACTGCTGCCACTGCTTGATGGCTTTTCTTCACTCCAGGGGAAGAGTGTAGGGAAGGAGCCTAGGGTAGCCCAGCCACTAGTGATGGTGTATTAGCTAATCTGTCAGTACTTTTCACCTCCCCCTGCAGCTCCATGTACCAAGGACTGGAAAGGTGGAGCCTGCCTCTGATTATGGTGGGAAGGACGCACCCTGTATGGTTGTGCAGCTGATCAACTTTTCTGGCCTTTTTAAAAATTTATTCTTTTAATTCTTTAGGTAGATGGTAGATAGGTAGATGGGTGGATGGATGGATAGATAGACAGATAGGAAGAAAGAATACCTCAGGCCCTAGGCTGAGTAAAAGAAATATAGAGATGAGCAAAAAGAGACATTGATCCTGCCTTTATGGAGATTATAGCTTAGTGGGGGGTGATAGACATTAACCAAAAACTCTCATAAATTTCACTTCCACTTGTATTAAGAACCAGAAAGGAGAGGACTCAGAGCTCTAAGGGAATAGAATAAGGGGGCGGGGGGGCTTGACCTAGTCAGGAAAGTCAGAAAAGTTTTCTGTGAGTAAGTGATGATGGAGCTGAGATTTTATTCATTTCTCCTAGTGCCCTCCCCACATCAAGTGCTAATTCTGTTTCTCCTTTCTATATAGTTTTATTCTAGATACCATGGATGGAAAAAATATGCTAAATGGATGCTCTCCAAGGGGTTCAATGAAAAGGTCTAGAGACGTTGCCCTAGTATCTTGTAGTGCAAAATGTCTTCAGAATAGGCCACTGTCACTCAGTTGACACATGTTTATTAAGTCCTATAGTAGGCATATGAGGTTTTCTGGCCACCTAGCATCCATTCACCCTACTTCTGATAAGATCAATCTGATTTCCTTTGGGGAGTTGACCTTCCTCCATTGTGTGTAGTCTTTGTGTGACTGTAAATCAAGGTGACCTGGGAGTCTGTGTATTCA